TTTTAAATCTCAGGGAAAATGTTCAGTTGTTGATCATTTTGAGTGTTTTTACTCTTCAATTGACCTTTTAAGATGGACTTAGTTTCCAGTAAAGAAGTTACTTTGTGTAGACAGAGTAGAAAGAGCTCTAAGCTGGATAAAATAATTTTTTTTCTAAGTGTCATTGTCACTTGGAGAAAAGGACTAATTTGGGTAGTTAATTTATTAGCCTGGTCTTATTTTATGGATTGTTTTACGGTTTTATTTCATGGATTATGGTACTAAGCAGTTTATGACCTGATTGCAGTGATTACTTGTTACTGCAATTCTCAATGAATTTTTGCAGAGTGATTTTAGTTGTTTCCTAGATTCTCTTCCTCCCCTTTCCCCTCACTAAGGAAAACTGGCAAATTTAGATGGTACTGCTTCTATCCTGCAAACTCCAAAGGGACTGTATGAGTTCTTGACAAGTTAGGAGAATGTTATTAAAATTCACATGGGATGAAGGAGAGCATAACAGCATTTATCTGCAAAGAGAACCCGTTTTGTAGGCCCGCTGTTTCCTGTCCTGTTACACTGTTTTTTGTACTTTGTATTTTTTTGTCTGGACTTCTAACTTAACTTCTTCTAGAAAAAGTGAATTGGGTCAAAAATAGCAGAGTGTTATTGTTTAATCTTATCACAAGATGTCCATCACTTTCAGATAAACAACTTGAGTCCTTTTGTGTGTTAATTATCTAAATTAATATAAATAGCATATTGACAAATATAAATAGATGAGTAAGTAGTTTCTTGGTATCTGAGGGGATTTGTTTTAGCACCTCCGCAGTTAGCAAAATCTGAAGATGTTCAAATCCCTTATATAAAATGGTTGAATATTTGCATATAATGTACACACATTAAACCATATACTTTAAATCATCTCTAGATTACTTATAATACTTAATGCAATGCAAATGTTATGTGAATGGTTGATGGAAGATGCCAAATTCAAGTTTTGCTTTTGGGAACTGTCTGGAAATTTTTTAAAAAATATTTTAAATCTGAGGTTGGTTGTATCTGTGGATGTGAAACCTACAGATGTGGAATGTCAACTCTACATTTTAGCTTAAAATGGTGGGAGACAAAAACACAGACAGATATACTTATAGGTAGTTTTGGATTAAGAACTTGGAGTCCTTGTATCCTATTCTCCTATTGCAGTTTAAAAGGAGAACTCCAGAATTTTCTAGTGGAATGGGGTGTTCTTATAATAAAATATGAAGAACATGCATGTTATTATAAAGATTTGTAATTATTCCTTGATGGAAGCTAAGGGATTACATGTTTTTAATGAAGTGCACATTGTCAATGTGCAAAGCAATAAAGTGAAAAAAGTTACAGAATGGAAAATTTAATATATATGATAATACACATAAATCTATTAGAGAAAGAAAAGCAGAATTAATTATAATTCAGTACCCAGAGGGTGAATACAAATGGTAAAGAATTATGAAATAAAAAATTCATTTTGTAATTAGTTTAGCAGAATCAAATTAGAAAAGAAGTTAAGTTTTTAAAGGTCCTGATAACTTATAAAACATTTCATGGAAGGAAGGCAGGAAAAATGTTAATTATAAGTAGTTACCTAAAAGGGGAAAAGTCTTTTCTATATCTTGAAATAGCAATGATTAAATTTTTAATTAACTCATGGTTTCATTTTGAAAACCAATCACAACAATGTTTTGAATATTCTAAATATTCATGTAAAATGCAAAGATATGCTTAAAGCATTTATGATGTTCAAATAGTTTGAACACCAATAATTCTCTCAAAGATTTTTTGGAACAACAACATGAAGTTAAATTTTTATTTTTCTCTTTGGGTTGTTTATCAATTACTAGTATTTGTGAGAATTCTGATGGGTTCTTTGTCTATATATGAATTTGATTGTTTTTAATTTATAAGAAAGTTTTTATTATGTAGTATTGCTGTTTTCAGAGTAGAGCTATTGTGATTTTAAAAATATCTTAAAGAAATGAACTAAAATACAACCATCAGAATCTATTCTTTCACTCTTTATATGTAGTGGGTACCTACAGAAGTCTTAAAGTCACTTAGCTGATAACTCAGACGGATACACGCGCATGGTGTCTGAACCATCACAGAGGGTGGTGCATACAATTTTGTACATTGAAACCCGTATTCCTCAATGTGGCTGTATTCGGAGACAGTGCTTTCAGGCAAGTAGTTAATGGTAAGTGACAGTATAAGGGTAGGATTCTAATCCTATAGGACTAGTGTGATTATAAGAAAAAAGACACCAAAAATTATTCTCTCTCTCTTCCTCTCTCGCCCTCCATGTCTCTCTCCTCCCTCCTCCCTCTGTCTCTATGCAAACAAAGAGACCTGTGAGAAAGGCAACCACCTATAAACAGGGAAGGAAGTTCTCGCCAGAAACCTCTCTGAAGACACTCTAAAGCTACAGCCTCAAAAACTGTAAGAAAATAAGTTTCTTTTGTTTAAGCCACCCAGTCTGTGGTATTGTGTTATGGCAGCTTGAACAGACTAATACAGTAACCTGCTGTTACTAATACAGTAACCTAATTTAATCATCTGGATTAAATTAAATTTTTTGTGATCATATGTTTTAATGTCCTTGTGTAGGGAACTTGGTGATTAGATTGTAAATGCATTGGAGACCTAGGCCAAGAGACTAGACCTACACCAGTTCCTTATATGTGGTGACTTCATTGTGAAGCTTACTTTGTTATAAACACCATGCAAATAGTCAGGGAAAATGACATAGTGATCAACTCAACAGCCTCTTGTTTTTCTAAATTTCAATGTTATGTGAATTATTATGTTTTAATATCTATTGATTCATAATATTTATGACTATTTCAAAGGAATGCTCTTCATTTTATATCATATTTTTACAGACTAGTGTTTCTAATGTTTCAGAGCAATGTGATCTGATCTTAATCTTAGTACTGGTCTGCCTATACAGATTTTTGTGCCTTTTTTATCTTTGAAGAGGGTTCAGAATGAGTACAGATATTTTAGTATTATAATTCTATGGGGAGGGTGTGGGAAGGGTATTAACTCCTTCCTCATATTAAATCTATTTATTTGACCATTTTTTCTTAAGAGGAAAACAAAGCTTCACATATTCTATTTTCCAGTACTTTTTTGATTGAGTTAAACAGTTGTTAGTAATCATGTGTTCATAAATTAAAATACTGCTCTTACCTCTTTTCCAGTTCATTGGAATGTTTATGTTTTTATTCTTGACACATAAGTCAGCTGAGATAGAATAGTTTTTAATTTGACTGACATACTCTCATAAAGAAAAAGTGTTTTGAATACACATTTCATCTCAACATATACTGCTATTTTCCAACTTTGCAAGGAATGAAAAAAATTGATTTATTTTTACATCTTGTGACTGAAAAAGAGTACTGCTGTCCTATAGCACTACACCTTTTATTCATAACAGTGTGGATGTAGAAAAATATGGACCGACTGGAGTTTAAATCCTGGCTCTGACACTGCCCCTTACTGTATTAGATTCTCTTTATTATTAATATTATTTTTTTGCTTTGGTTTCCTTATTGGTAAAATGTGTGTATAATAATTCATATCTTAAAAAGGTTGTTGAAAAGACAGTAAAATTTTTATGTGCTATATTTAGCATAGTGATAGGCACATAGGTAATGAAAGTTATTTCCCTAAATAAGGAAATTTTGAAGAGCTTCTGTTAATTCACTACATGCAATGTTGCCAGAAGCTAGGCATGAAGTCAGTGTGGATGTTTTTCCAGTGTCCTGTGTTTCCAGGTGGTGCTGAGATCAGTATTCAGGAAGTGGCTAATCTCCTATATTGTGCTAGCTTTTCAGGATTTGTGAAAGGATGAAACGAGGTAATGTATATCTGCCCAGCACTTTTCATAGCCCTGAGAAGCAGTAGGTGGTCACTGCATAGTGAATGGTAGCCAGTGACATTATTATCACCATTAATCACCACTCCAGGAATCAGTACTGTTCATTTCCCATTCTAAAGTCTGAGCAGTGGCTCTGGGCAATGACACAGTGACTTGGGAATTGGATGCCTCTCTAATTCCAGGATTTTATTTGTAGGAGAGTCTACACTGAATCAAGCAGTAGTGTGAGGGGGGAGAGAGGGAAGCCTACTTGATATACTCTGTCTGCTATTATTTGATCTAATTTTTGACATGATTTAAAAGGTGAACACAGACAAATTATTTGAAGGGAGATAAATGAAAACTGCAGATCTCTTACAAGAATGTCTTAATCTTTTTTAGCACACTTGTTTGAAACCAGGGAAAGATTTCAGTAATATACTAAAGTGACAGGATATTCTCTAGTGGGTAATGAGTGGTAAAATACATGGTAACATTTGAAAAATAAGAAATCCAGGGGCACTAGTCCAAGCAATTAGAAATATGGTTCATTTGTATAGAATTAAAAATAGAAACAGCTTACCTTGTTGAGTTTTTCATTATCCTGTATACAATTCAGATTCTTGAATATGTAGAGGTCTGATGTATTTCTAGGTATAAGTATGCATACTACAAAGTGCAGGCAATGTTTTCCTTAAACAACTGTTGCTTTTAAAAAGGTTGTTAATGGATATGAGTAAATTACAGAGAGAGAGAGAGCCCCAGTGAAATATCACATATGGCTGATTAATGTGATAAAAGTTACTGAATCATCACAATAGTCATATTTGGTATTACAAGGAAACAAAAATTAGCACAGAAAATAGACTAAATAAATATTTATTAAATGAATAATTCCCTGGTAGATCAAAGCTTATATATCTTAAGTATAACTCCCCAGATGTGACAAGCTTCTATTTCATAGGTGCATGTATTTTTATATTAATTAGTCTGTGATGTGACATGAATAATAGGAAAGAGATTGAAAAAAGACTTTAAAAAATCCGGAAACAGCGCCTGCTCCTCGTAGCCTCGCCTCTCCCGGCCGCATCCCGGGGGACCGGAGCGAGCAGCCGGGACCATGTTTCGACGCAAGTTGACGGCCCTTGACTACCATAACCCTGCCGGCTTCAACTGCAAAGATGAAACAGAATTTAGAAACTTCATTGTTTGGTTTGAAGACCAGAAAATCAGACACTATAAAATTGAAGACAGAGGTAATTTAAGAAACATCCACAGCAGTGACTGGCCCAAGTTCTTTGAAAAGTATCTCAGAGTTGTTAACTGTCCTTTCAAGATTCAAGATCGACAGGAAGCAATCGACTGGCTTCTTGGCTTAGCTGTTAGACTTGAGTACGGAGATAATGCTGAAAAATACAACAAGGACTTGGTACCTGATGATACAAAGAACGCTGACAATGCAGCTAAAAATGCAGAGCCATTGATCAATTTGGATGTAAATAATCCTGATTTTAAGGCTAGTGTAATGGCTTTGGCTAACCTTCTTCAGATTCAGTCATGATGATTACCTGGTAATGCTTAAGGCAATTCGCATTTTGGTCCAGGAGCGCCTGACACAAGATGCAGTTGCTAAAGCAAATCAAACGAAAAGAGGGCTTGCCGGTTGCCTTAGACAAGCATATTCTTGGTTTTGACACGGGGGATGCAGTTCTTAATGAAGCTGCTCAAATTCTGTGATTGCTGCATATAGAAGAGCTCAGAGAGCTACAGACAAAAATTAATGAAGCCATAGTGGCTATTCAGGCGATTATTGCTGACCCAAAGACAGACCACAGACTCGGGAAGGTTGGAAGATGAACATTTTAGGATTTCAGCTTCTCACCTACTTAGTACAATTGGGAACCATGTAAGCTTTGGCATGTGTGTGGAAATGTCATGTTTTCGAGGGAAGAATCCCAGAAAATTGACTATGTTCTAGAGATTTACCATCATTGCTTTTTCTTTAATAAAGTTGGGAAGGCAAAAAAAAAAAAATCCGGAAACGATCAGGAACTATTAAATGGACTTCTCTTTGATGCCATATCACCAGACTTCACACTTACTCCTGCACTTTGATATACTTTCATCCAGGTTTCTTGTGCCCACTTATCCCTAGTGGCTGACCTAGCTTCCTCCGGCAGTGTCTCCACTCTCCTCTTGCTTCAAGATGCTATCAGCATCTTGGATATCTTGATTGTCAAGGCCATGCACTTAGTCCTCTTCTGAAAGGGTAGAAGAGTCTGAGAACTCCTTGGCATGTAATTACAACAGTATTGGCTTACTGTATTACGCTTTGTCTTGTCAATGCTCTTGACGTTTACTGAGTGACAATAAATAGTTGCAGGATTAATTTATACCCAGAGGTTGCCTAGGTGAAGAAGAAGCAGAAAAAGCAGAAGGGTATTTCTGTATCTGAAACAGTAGGGAAAGGATGTAGAAGAGGCCATACACAGAATATTTTCTGCATGATGATGGCTGTGTAGCAGAGTGGAGGGGACAGTACATGGGAAGAACAGCCTGGAGATCAGCCTAGATTACCAAGAATTGGGAAGGACCTTTTATCCCCTGTCCTCCCATTGATTCATTTCCAGAGTGGGTGATTTGCACCTGGTGCCTCTAAAGGGTTATTTTACATCTTGTTTTTAACAATGTGACAAATGATAGACTTGATATTGTTTCCATTAAATTATAGGTGGTACTCTTTTGATTAACTTTCTTATGCTTTGAAGGAGAGAGAGAGAATTCCACATGTCACATGATAAATTAATGTTTCACCAAATTGAGATTAATGCTTAAGGGAGCAGTACGATTTCATGTATCAGAGATATTTTTAATTTATATTATATAAAATATCCAAAAAACCTTGACAAGAAAAAATTAGTCACTTAACTGGAATTATAAATTCAAAATGAATAATTAATATTGATTTTTTAAAGCTATCGGAAATAGTTGATACTAGAGAGCGAGAAGTAACAATTCTAGGATATTTATTATTATTTAAAACTTTTATTAGGGAATTACTCTAATTTTGATCTTTGGGTTTTAGGAAATTTTTAGAGAAGTGAGAGAGTCAAAATATATGTGAAATATAATAAGGCACATTTTGAAAAAATATTCTAAAAGAGTCAATATCAGGATTATTTTTAGTAGGATAAAAAAGATCCATAACTGTTTTCAAGCATTTGAAAGGGAATTATAAAAAGGATTGTATTCAGTTATGCTTCATCTCTACTGGGGGTTGAAGGAGAAGCAGGGGGCTTAATTTGCAGCAAGAGGAAGAATTCATTTAGAGGTTCTTTTCTGGGTCCAAATTGTTATTAAACATTATAACAGTCAACTGAGAACTGTTAGGAGTCCCTACTTATTTATTTTCTTACAGAGTGAATAGAGACAAACTTCCATCCTTATTCATGTGAATATACACTCTTATTTCATGATTCTTTGATAATCATAAATGGTCTCTTGCATTTCTACAGAGTTAAAAGCGGTAAGGGGATATGTATTTGCTGGCAGACTTTTTCCCTACAAACACATTATTTTTGTTTTAAAATAAAACCCATGATACATTGCTTTGATAGCTAAACAAGTCTGTGAAAAATCATGCTAAAAAGAAATGTGAGAGGCCAGGTAAAGGCCACTTAAATTCTTTTTTTGCCTTTCTCCTTTCTCTTTGGTCACAGGTAAATGTAGAATTCCCTTGAGAAGTTGCTGTGAAGTTGTGTGGGCTGCTACTTTCTCTGGCAGCATAGTCCATGGCCTGCCAATGCTTCTGAAGGGAGACAGACTGGACTTGTGGCACTTTTCAGGTTTGTTTCTTAAACTCACTTCATGGATAAACAGCTTCAGTGAGCTTTTCAAGTGATTCCCAGGAGGTAAAGCACCTCCCTACTGCTCTACATTAGAGAAAAATTTAACAGACACTTAAAAGTATTTCACAGTCTCAGAATAGAAACATAAAATAAATTTAAGTATTTGGATTTTTGCCAAGTCCTTCAGAGAAAATTAAAAAAGACTCTTTTTTCTGGTGGGCATATATTGAAATTTCCTCTTAGATTACAGTTAAACAGAGAGATGTATGGCTTACATCTTTCCAACTTCAGACCCAGGATATTATTGTCCTCACAGAGTGTTTTTCTGCTATCAACTGAGCCCAGAGTTGGGAACCAATTAATAGATGCATGTGTGATGTGTGTGTGTGTGTGTGTGTGTGCACGCATACATGTGTTGTTCTACCCTTGTACCAATCAGAGAGCTATTGTAGCTTAAAAAGAAGGACAAGAAGATAGTAATTAAATATTTGGAAATTAAAATGAGGTCCTGGAAAAATGGAAGCCATCATAATTTTGATGGCAGGTCCTAGAGATATGAGATTCTAATTCTGGTTCTGCAGTTTATGTTCCACGTTGCAAATCCTTGGACAGATTACTTAATTTCTCCAGTCTCAGCTACTTCATCCATAAATAAGGGATAATAAAAATGACTATCTCCTAGAGTTGTTATAAGAATTAAACCAGATAATGAATACAAAATAAATATTACATAATAAGCATTCAATATGTTAGCTGTGTTTGCTAATGTTGAGGAGAAAAGGTCGAAGAAAACCCACAAATGACAAAAATCTGCGGCTGAGTTACCTGGTTTCGAGACATTTGTGATTCAGCCTTCTGCAGAGCAAGGCTGGATAAATGCTGCTCCCTGGTAGGATAGGTGATCGCGTCTGTGTAGTTTGCTCCCAGAGGGCCCTTGTTCTAGAGTTGTTGCCCTGCAGTACACCCGGTACTCCTGTTGGCAGTCTCTTGGGGATGCGGGTTTAGGTCTAGGGCCTTGCCAGATGAAGTGTGACAAAGTCTCCTGTTCCCATGAATATGTAACACACAAGGGTTTCCAGCTGCTTCCATACCATTTACTTCTGGCTCCATCCCTGTGAGGTAAGTGGGTAATGAACCTGGATTTTATAGCTCCCTTAGGAGAGAAAAGGAACTAACCAAGCAAATATGAATGTGATGGAGAATTTCATCAGCTGCTGCTTCCTTCTCAGCAACCTACATGTATTGTGCTAATATTTTTCAGTTCCTAAAGTTCACCTGTGATGGAATTCTCATTTTTTTATCTTTTAAATAATCATTTATCCCAAAGGAAGTTTTCTTATTAACAGCAGCAAAAATACACAAACTTGTCAGTTGTTTATATTGATTTTTATTTTCTTTAATTCATTTAAATAGTTGTAGTTGGAAAAGAAAATAGGAACTGTAAAGCCTTGGGTTTCTATGTATCAAGCTGCATAAAGGATTCTCATTGACCTTTTGGTAAATTTAACAGAAAGTGCCAGTATTCAACTAATTATGTTATTAAATGGCCACCACTCCTTGCCCTTTCTGCATTCCCCCTCAATTCCTGCACATTAGCATTACCTGACATTTTGATTCATGTGCAGTCTGTAGAAGTAACAATAATAAACAACATTTATTGGGTGCTTACTATACGCTAGACTGTTTCCTAAACCCTTGTACATCTAGACTTGTAGAAGACATCAGGAGAAGCAAGAAAAAATAAATCTGCGTGCTTTCTGATATTCCTTAGAGTGGAAGCTCAGTGACTCACTTTATCTTTTGGGTAGAGGGATCAAGACTTGTGAATTTACTTCTGGTAAGGTGCGAACACTCCTGGTCTGCATGTGTGTTGATGTTGTTTTGAAAACAAGGTACCAGTTTATTACATCAGTCAATTATTTTTATAAGTGACTAGGTCCTTAGTGGCTAATTTTAAATCTTGCTCAAGTTTCTCATCTCTTCCATACTGGGGTTCCTGTTTTAGGTTTAGATAACATAGGCTAATATAATTATTAGTTTAATTAATGTACATTTTGAAAATCTGTCTCATTAAATAGCTAAAATGTATTTCAAAGGCAAATGGAAAGTGATTTTAAGAGTGTCTGAAGTTTCCTTTAACTAGGACAATTATCTATAGTCCTAAAATGAGAGGAAAAGACACTACTTAGCAAGCATATGTATTTTTAAGATTTTTAAACTTTATTTTTGTCAGTTAATATGAACAAAACACCATTATAGAATCCAAAAAAGGGTTGAGGTATTTCTTCTCATTCCTAATCCCATTAAAAATTCTGTTGTTTAATCCCTTTAAAAGATATCTCTTTAAGGACATGTATTTTATCCTTCATTACCTTCATACACTCATTGGACAGTTTATGATCATTTTGAGCTGCTGCCCCTACAATCTGAATTCTATTTGAAGATGATTTTATCCAAATCTAGTTTCATGAAAACACTGTACTGAAAACTACCTATATGGGAGACTACAATAGCCACACTTTAATTTGAGTAGACACAAATATTCTTATTTTCGTGTACTTTTTGGAGCATCTTCCTATACTAGAAAATAAGCTCTGCATGAGTAGGGTTCATATTCCATGCTTCATTTCCCTGCTGTGATATGAATAGGCAGCCAGCAGACTATGCTCATTGTCTCATCTTTAGCACAGCCTCTGAAAAAACAGCCTGTGTG